GGGAGGCTTGATGAGCAAAAGATAGGTAATGCAGCATAGCGATAGAACGAAGCAACTAGCATAGCAATGATGGCAGTGAGATCCAGGGTAGCGGTCATCTTGCCTGAAATCCCGCTAAGAAGAAGAACGAGTCCATGAAGAAGACGAACGGATGAAGCCGAACCAAGCGTAGACGAACGAATCCTCACGATCGCAACGAAACAGGAACTATCAAAAAGAAGCACACAACATGGTAAACACACCACACATGAACAAGGCATGATGCACATTAAGCATGATGCATGATAAGGCTACATGAAGCTACTCATGGCAAGGGACGATCCAAACAAGAGCAACACATCAAGGCAAGTTTAAATGAAGCCGGGAACAACATATAACAATTCCGGTAAGTCCTCATATGCAAATTTCGAAGTTGGTCCAGATCTGAATAACCCTTATGTTCAAGTTGTTAAACAGCAAGCTAAGATGCGCAAAGATGATCTACACGAGATTCTAGTCAAGTTACATATAAAGTTCATTTAGTTCGGAGCTACGGCCTAGAAGATATGAGCAAAACAAGTTAAACATGGCATTGATGCAAAAAGCATACAAACATCAAGAAAACACCTCAAAACATGGATGCAACATGATAATATGAAACTACATGCAATTCTAAGCAAGTTTCATATAGAGCACACTCAAAACAGAGCAACGGTTTAATATACACACACTATACAAGTTATGGCAACAATCTGTCCAAAACAGCAACTAGGCATCTTGCAAGCATCAAAACAACATGCTACAGGACCTCAACAAGAAAGCAAAAGGTATGGGCATGATGTACAGGTAAAGCATAACAAAACATGAAAACTGAGCTATCTCCATAAATCACTAGAACATGCTCAAACACACATGGAAAGATTGCAAATAATAACAATTCAGACTTTGCAGAAAATAACATCAGGTTGCAATGTTTAGAGCTATCAAACAACATGTTACAGGAACTTATCATGGCAAACAAAGGCATGGCATGAATCTACTAATTGCATAGATCAAAAGTCCCTTAGTGACCATGAGCCAAAAAAGATCAGAAAATATGATGGCACCCATGTAAACATGGCAAGTTATAATACAGATTCAAACATGGCAGGAACAGAATTATGAAGGCATGTTGGTGAGCTTGTACCACTCACCACAAGTCATTGCATGACAAGATAAGCATAGCATCATCAAGAAGACATGTTTGTGAAACAAACCAAGGCAAGAAAAAGTTCATAGCATGCAAGGATCAACTACAACAACCTTGGCAAAATTGAATAACATGTAAACAATCTGGCAGGAAACATTTTGAAGCAAAAGTAGAGCACAAAAATGACATGCTAGACTACACCATAATTGCAACAAAGGGCATGAATGGATAGAGGAAAACCATATGTCCAAAACATCCTTACTGAAGTATCTCAAAATATGCATGCATCTCTCTGTAGCATCATGTTTACATGGCATCAAAATAACAGCAGAACAGGGACTAAAATCAGCAGTATCACGAAGCCTAGTTTGCATGATTGTGCTAGTCACCACATTGATCACAAAAATACACCGTAAGCACCTCTGTAAAGAAGACATGGCATAGATCAAAACACATGTAGACATCAACCTCATAGGATGCACACATCAATCATGGCAAAAATGACAAAAGAGCTCGTTCTGTTAACAGACAGCAGATTAACAGCAACATGCACTCTTGCAACGATGATTCAGGCATCAAGATGACCTCAAATGAATATGATGCAATGGAATGAAATGAAGTACTCGTTGAGACAAACAACGGCAAATAACTGGCGGACACCTGGCGCATCGGATCCGGGGCGTTACAGCGGGACTGGTGCGAGCTCCCTACCCCCTCTCCCCTCCCCGCCTCCCCTGCAGGTGCGGCTTCGGCTCGGCAGCCATGGACACGCCCCGTCCCCCTACCCCCCTGGTTGGCTAATACAGCTCCAGAATCGGTGCTCCGCGTGTGTAGCGTCCCTTCCGGCTCCTCCGGTTCGCCGGCTTTTTGGCGGCTCCGCACCATCCCCTGCATGTGTTCTCGGTTGGTCGGCATCCACCCCGGCGCAGCTCTAGCTCCGGCTTGCTCCTGGAGCTACGCCTCTTTTCCGGCTCCTTGGCTCGTTGGCGTCTTTGCGGCTCCGGTCCGGACGCCCCGGATCTGCGCTCCTCTCTAGATCCTGGCTTGTCCGGGTCCTCGTCCACCTTCGCTTCCCCTGCGTTGCTTCCCATTTCTGCCCAGCCGCCTAACCTCGCCAACCTCCTTCCGCGTGATCCGTAGCTCACGCGTGCGGTGCTTCATTTGGCAGCGGCCGTGGCTCCCTTTCCCGCGGTGGCGGTTCCGACCAATGACTTGGCTTCCTCTTCTCCGAATCTTGCTCCGACGGCTTGGGATTGCTCAGACTCTGGCCAGGAGAAATCCTTGCTCGACCCTTCGACGCTAGGATCAGCGACACACGCGGGTGCCGTCCCCTTCTTGGAGGCGCTGCTATGGCCGGCGTATGTGCCCCTCTTCGAGCATCAGGGGAAACCCTAGATCCGACTATCCGGATCGGGCGGCGATGGTGTCGTTCTCCTTCGTGAAGGCGCTATCTTGTTTCCTCGCGGCGTCCTTGGCAGTGGTTTTTTGAGATGTTGGTTGTCATGGTGTTTTGGTTTGGGTGCTTCCCGGGAGGCGAGTTTTCGTTGTGTTGTTTTTCTCTCTAGGCCGAGCATCCCATGCCTCTCTACTCCGGGCACTATGTTCACTCCTGTTGTGTTCGTGTCATGTGTTGTACCACCACCTGTATTCACTCTTATCTTCTTCTATCAATGAAATGATACGCAACCTTTGTGTATTCGCAAAAAAAAACAATAATATCAATTCATTTCATGTAAAAAAGAAGCCACACATTGGACTGTAGAATGGCATTCGTGACGAAATCCAGGCTTGAAGCACAAATTCGTTCATAATATACTAGAGGATGACACTTTGTTTTCATAAGACTATTTCATAAAAAAATCTCAAAAAAAGCTGCCATCATCTTATGAAACAATGGCTACTTAGGTTCAAACATAACTATTTAGTTTTAATGTTTATTTTTACGACATGGCAGATTTAGTTTCTCATGCATGGCAATTGTAAAGTTTCATGTATTGCTTTTAGGTATGTGTCAAACTTATGTTCAAACATTCATCCAACCACCTGGTAAGCTTATCTCTACTCCTAAAGGAGAAATCCGTAGGTCGTCGTTCGTTCGTTCTGTCTCCCTCCCATCGATCGGTTCACACCTTGACATCCCCACTGGCCGATTTTTTAATCTTGATGGGTGCATCTTCTCGCCTGGAACAAAACCGTGGAAGCTGGCGGGCCAGGGCTGCAGAGATCGCCATCTTGGCTAGTGTCCACAAAATGATGTTTACGCCACTAGCGCCGTCCATCAGAACTAGGGGGTGGAAGCCCTCGATGATCAGATCTACCACCAGGGAAACTTGCTTGGGTGGGGAACGTAGGCCGGATGGTCGGTGTGATCGAAGGCGATCGTGGAGTTGGACCACTCCAGGAGCTCTTTTGGGGTCATCGCGACTACATAGACCGCGTGTCAGGTGAGCTTCTAGCCCGACGTGTATCGGCAGCTTGGAAGATCATGTTGATGCCTACCGATTGGGAGGGCTGGTGGTTTGATGAAGGCCCAACCGCCCGGAGGTCGGCCGAGATCGGCCATGTCTTCCTTGCCAGTGGTGATGGAGCGGCGTTGAAGCACACGATATCACCGTGTTGGTCAAACTAGAAACATAGGCTTCTGAAGAAGATCATGTCAACGAAGGAGGTTGGCATTACGTTTGTAAAGCATGCCCCGATTGTCGACCTCGAGGTCGAAAGAGCAAAAGACTAAAGTCTGGCCTGGCATGAAGTCATCGTTCATGTATAACGATTTGATCTGGGTTTGTTCTCCGACTAGTTTAGCCCATGCATGGCACAACAATAGAGGGCACGTAAACCGTGAATTCCCTCAGTAGGGTGGCGAGTGCGGCAGGAAGTAACATAACGGGGTTCACACAAGGGTGTTACCCAGGTTTGGGCCCTTTGGGAGAGGTAATTCCCTGCAGTCTGCTTCTGATATGTATTCATGGTGGAGTTCCTCATGCAAGGGATTACAATTGGGGATGACGGATGACTATCGTGAGTGTGTTTCTACGAGAATAGATGGACCTGGCCGATGCCTACCCCCGCCTAATATCGATGATGGGGGCTAGGATTCACACAGGGATCTAACTGACCACAAGCCGTCGCCATCTGTGGCTTGCACTCCATGATGATCGTCATGCTCCAGGACTCCCCCCTATCGTCGGGCTCCCTCCAAGATGATCGTCGCCCTGTGGTAGGCATGTTGTCATGCTTCCCCTCGGTAAGCCACTCCGGTGAATTGCACCATCAAACAACAACATATTTAACTCGCAACAACAGCTGCTTTCTACAAGCTCCTGGCTTTTAGCAAGTTTGCTCCACTGAGACGGAGGACCAGAGACGACAACGAGCTTGCGGCACAGAGTTTTTGCTCATGGCTCTGCCTATGAATGCAGTAGGAGGAAGACTTCGACACACAAAATTTTGGATGTATTTTCAAATTTCTGTATAAGTGTTTTTGTAAGGGTTTCTGATAATTAATATATGGCATTTGGTGTTCTCGCAAAAGAAAAAACTTCCATTGACAACAATATCTTGTTCCATGTAATGTTGTGATTTAAAAAAGGTATAACTATTAATACTGTTAATACAATATAACATTTCCAATTTGTATGCGAGTGTTACCATACAATACCTTTCCAGGTTGTAAGTTGTAACAAACTAACGGGGTTGTAGGCCTTCCCTAGAAAAAACCAACGGGGTTGTAAATTTGGGGTACCATCCTGCCTGCAGATCCGATCTTTCGGCCTCGCGACGACTCGCGGCTCGCGGGCGGTTCCTTCCGGGTTCCGGCCACCGATCGACCATGCCGACGTCGGTACCCAACGACGTCGTCTCCGAGATACTCTCCTGGGCGCCGGTAAAGTCGGCGTGCCGGTTCCGGTGCGCGTCCACGGGGTGGCGGGCGCTCATCTCCGACCCCGCGTTCGTCGCGGCGCACAAGGCCCGCACGGAGCCGCAGCTCCTCATCGTCGCCAACTCCTTCCATGGCGTGGCCAGCGGAGGGCGGCGCCGCCGCCGTGACCTGCGGCTGCTGGACACGGACGGCAGCGTCGTGAGGGTGGTCAAGTCCGCAGGTGACCTATGGACCATCACCTCCGGACCTCGCGGCCCCGTCTGCGCCACCCGCGTCGGCGGCGTCCTCAACGTGATCGATCTGGCCACCGGGGACGTGCTCGTGACCTCCACGGAGATGGACGACGGCGGAGCGTCCTACGTCTTTGGCATCGGCTACGCTGCCCCGTCAGGCAAGTTCAAGGTGGTCCGCCTCACGAGCATGTACAGTTATGCTGATCCACCGGAGTACACCTGCGATGTTCTCACGTTGGAGGACGGCGCCAGAACATGGTGGCGGAGGGAGTCACCACCAATTAAAGACCGTGTCCGCTTTCACAAAAACTCTGTGGTCACCATAGATGGTGTGCTCTACTTCCTTTACACTTACAGCTCGGTGCCACCGCAGGTGGGCGGGTACTGTGTCCTCTGCCTTGACCTCGAGACCGAGGAATGGAAGAGGTCCATCAAGGCCCCGGTGAGGCTACAAGAGTTGAGATCAGAGACCCGTATGGTCGAGCTCAATGGCACCCTTTGTATGGTTCAGCCAGAGGGACGTGGGACCAAACATGCTTGCACGACCATATGGCTGCTGACTGATTTGGCCGAGGGCACTTGGGTCGAGGCGTATATGATCCCGATGGCTCGAACCATTGATCTAGTGATACCTTTCAGGGTGATGCATCATGGTGGAAAGCTAATGTGCTATTGCTTTCTTAATGGACCAACTCCGACGCTACAAGTCTATGATCCGCTCAATGGGACATGCACACACTTGGCGGATCTTCCAGGTAACCATTTGGGTGACGTTGCTTTTTGTGACTTGCACTTGGAATGTTATATACGTTCCACCTAAGATCTCGCCGGCTGCTGCAATGGTTGAATCGATTCTCTCATTTGTGGATGATTTTTAGAAACCAAATAATGGGGTCTGATGTTTTCATTGTCGGATGCTTGGAACAACATGAAGTTGCGCAGAGCAGAGCTCAGATGACAATTTCACAAGAGTTTTATCTAGCTTTATTTTTATCAACGGTCTTAGTTGTACTCTCTTTGTTTAATCAGGTTATAAACAATAGTATCAATTCATTTCATGTAAAAAAAAGCCACACATTGGACTATAGAATGGCATTCGTGACGAAATCCAGGCTCGAAGCACAAATTCGTTCTTAATATACTAGAGGGTGGCAGTTTTTTTCATAAGACTATTTCATAACTTTTATTTTTCAAAAAAAAAATGCCATCATCTTATGAAACAATGGCTACTTAGGTTCAAACATAACTGTTTAGTTTTCCCGTTTATTTTTACGATATGGTAGATTTAGTTTCTCATGCATGGCAATTGTAAAGTTTCATGTATGGCTTTTAGGTATGTGTCAAACTTATGTTCAAATATTCATCCGACCACCTGGTAAGTTTATCTCTACTGAGCAATCCGTAGGTCGTCGTTCGTTCGTCTCCCTCTCCCATCAATCAATTCACCCCTCGACATCCCCACTCGATGATCAGATCTACCACCAGGGCAACTTGCTTGGGTGGGGAACGTAGGCCGGATGGTCGGTGTGATCGAAGGCGATCGTGGAGTTGGACCACTCCAGGAGCTCTTTTGGGGTCATCGCGACTACGTAGACCGCGTGTCAGGTGAGCTTCTGAGCCCGACGTGTATCGGCAGCTTGGAAGATCATGTTGATGCCTACCGATTGGGGGGCTGGTGGGTTGATGAAGGCCCAACCGCCCGGAGGTCGGCCGAGATCGGCCCTGTCTTCCTTGCCAGTGGTGATGGAGCGGCGTTGAAGCACACGATATCACCGTGTTGGTCAAACTAGAAACAGAGGCTTCTGAAGAAGATCATGTCAACGAAGGAGGTTGGCGTTACGTTGTAAAGCATGCCCCGATTGTCGACCTCGAGGTCGAAAGAGCAAAAGACTAAAGTCTGGCCCGGCATGAAGTCCTCGGTCATGTATAACGATTTGATCTGTTGGAGGATTGGAATAACATGAAGATGCAAAGAGGAGAGCTCCAGATGACAATTTCGCAGAAATTTTATGTGTATTTATTTTTATCAATGGTCGTCGTTGTACTCTCTTTGTTAAAATCAAGCTAAACAATAATATCAATTCATTTCATTCTCTTATCATTGACCCACAGGGAGTCCCAAGAAGGGACACGTGTCATTATTGATTGTGGCTTACTGATGGTGGTAGAACCATCTTTTTTTAACGCAATACAGACGCAAGCGCTCATATAAATGTGCATACACTCACCTCTATAAACACATACACGCACACCCTACCCGTATGAGCACCACTGACTGAACCGGCATATCATCTTGAGATTTTACGAAGTCACGTGGTAGAAGCATCTAAAAGGTCCAAATCCGTCTCATTTGCACGTGTTGTAGATTTTGTATGCACGATACGATTGTGCGTAACAATCTGATTGAAGCCCTTCTCAAGGGCGATTTTCGACAAGGTTGTTAGGTTAGGCTGCATTAGAGCATCTCTAGCAGATCCCGTATGCCCCGTCCCTCAAAAATCGGTTTAAAAAATACCGCAAAAAGCTTTTTCGCATTTTTATGGTATGACTTTTGTTCTGGTAGAATAAATCCCGTAAAATATTTTATGGCCCGGTAAAATTGCACAAACGCCCCTAAAAAGCGTCTGATAAATTACAACTGGGTCCACACGTCTTGCCGGTGACAACGCTGCCGTGGAGCAAGACGAGGACCACGGGGACGGACGCGACGAGCAGGCAGCTAGCTTGGATTGCCAAATCTCATACGTGCGATGCACGTGTACCTTACTAGTACAAATAGGGTTTCAACAGAATTTTGCAATTAAGCCTATTTCTGCAATCCTGGAAGCAGAGTTGTTTATTATGTTATTTTTCAGGGTTTCACTGTAACATGTACTACATCAGTAATGGAAAAAAAATTAACCACATATGAACCAACCGGTACGTAGTTGTGCTGTCAGAGAACCGCCGTGGCCACCCTTAGAATTAGGGCACGTTCATGACCAAGCGAGGTGCACGTGCTCAGCCCGGGCCAAACAAACAACCCTAAGCCTAAGGGTGGCCATGCGATTCACAACTTTGCTTTCACTACCTACATATACATACATACCCAAAATCTTTGCATTTTGTAGCTCTTGCTGTAGTTTGTAGCGCACACATACACTTGGATTGTGGCATTAACCCAGGCCAGGCACCAATACATACTACTTCATCCGCCGCACACATCAACCGCCAACAAGCTTAAAACCAATAACAAAGCCCGAGACTCTCCCCAAGAAAGGAGAAGCTACATATATGGGCGCAGGTGTAGCGACTCGGCGCACAAGAGATACAAATTAAAAGAGAAGAGCAATACCAATACAGCCACCCAGAAAAGCTCCTGCCTCCATGGATTGGAACACCAACACCTCAGACGCCATGAGCTTTGCGCGCTGTTGCGGTGCCTCCCTTTTTCCCACCATCGCCTCCACCAAGCAGCTCCAACGGTTGTTAATCCAGTGGTAGCAAACGTGAAAGACCAATCAACTAGGGTCGCAACTCGAAACGGGCCATATATTTTTGCCTTCCGGACCCCCCAAGGTGTCCCAGCGACCCCAACAGTCGGCACTTCCATTTCCCCAACAGGAAGAGATTCCTGAAACAACAATCAGCTGCGGCCAATTGGCAACAGAAGCCAATTGCACGACAAATATATATTGAGCTGGCAAACACTCTCAAACCCACCTTTGCTGACCCCAGCCATCAGTCTCCTCTCCTGGAAGAAGAAATCACACCATGAGTCTGCATTCGGTTTCTTTCAGCACATCTCCTCCTAGAAGAAAGAAAGCACACTGAAAGCTGAACATAACAAAAACAATAGACAGGATAAACCTTGTAATCTATAGGCAGTAGTAGTTTCTCTAATTACAACACTGAGCAACTATACCCCGCGGACCGTGGTTGCCAAGTTGCTGCCATGCTTGCTCTAGTATAAAGATTGTAGGCATAAAGGAGGCAGGCAAGGAACAAGCCCCTCTGGAATTCTACTGATGTACGATGTGTTGCGCCCGTGCGTGTGTTGGACTTCATGAACCATTTATCGCCTTCTATGCTTTCCATGATACTGATGAGGAAAGGTGCGCACACCAGTTTTATCATTTGCAGGGGACAGCCGAGAAATAAAAACCTCATGGTCTGCTCAGTGAAAATACTAAATTTCTTGCCAGGAACCACCTACTAAACTGAAAAATAGCATTTTTAATGCATCGAAGAATCGGCCAGAACGAAAGAGCACTATGATGTGGTTGTAGTTTGGACTATCTTGTGCTGCTTGCTCCTCTCTCTGATTATTTGGTTGAACTGAATCCCCATGTGTTGGCACCATAGCCGTCATGTTCAAACACAACGAACAACCGTTTATTTAGACTCGTCAATTTATAGTCATGCCCAATCCCCTAAACGAATCTCTGATTATAAGGCTCTCCTTTTCGTGTAAACTTCAGTTGGTATACAACCTTGGTGAGCTAGCGCTGGAAACAGAATTACCAGTACAACATCATCCCCCAGTTGATGCTGCTCTCCTAGTCGTCCTCACGGTCGGGGTGGCCTCATCATGCTCATCATGGCCTCTTGCGTGTGTTTTCTTCATCTCTGCTTCATAGAGATAATTGTTATAGTTTCGGGATTAATTCAGGAGTTGTATTTTATTATCATTGCCTTCATGTAGTAAGTTCATTAGTGAAGTTTATTTATCTACTCTAAATGAATATGCATAAATGTTGGAGAAATAAATTCTAGAAATAAGAATGATGCAGATCAGCTACCATTTGCAATTTGGATTTCATCACATGCCTTCAGTACATTATATACAAATGTATGGTTTGCACTTCAAGCTAAAACAGTTTATCCGCTGACACTATGTCATTTTGCTTTTGGCGAACCTATATGAAAATATGACTATTTTAATATACTAAAGTGGACATTTATGAAAACGACAGGAGAACCTTTTGCTCAAAATCCTCTAATCACTGATGTATTCAAGATAAGAAAGTGATTTCTCATCATAATTAGTTAAGCCCAGTCCCAATGTTCTGAAAACATAAGAACTCATACAGATGGGGCTGTGATAATTGGAAATACTGATAAAATAGTTGTGGCCATGAAGCTTCTGAAGCAAATCACAAGTAAAAGTTAGCCACATATGTAGTTTAGAAAACTTTGTTGTAGGACCTCTATTTTTCAGCTCTCATTCGAGTCAACTTGGCTCCTGAAACAAAATGTACAAATTTGATTAAAGCACCAGATGCTGCCAGTTTATTCAAATCTGTAGTACAATACTAGAAGGATTACTTTTTTTGCGGGGGTACTAGAAGGATTACTTAACTTGCAAGATTCAAAAAAGAGAAAAATAGGAGCTTCCCTGAATAAAACTCACGCCAGCATCAGGCCATACTTGTCACAGAAGCCTTCTGAATCATGTATAGTACAGCAAAGTCATAGCCGCCATGTTTCATCTTGTTTCCTGGGAGAAGAAGAAAAAAACACCATCCAGTTTCAGCACATCTTCACCTGGAAGAAGGAAAACACCATCCACATTCAGTAAATCAGTATGCTCCTATTTCCCAGCCACTTTTTTCTTGAGGGAAACTCGACACCATCTCACCTGGTGGTAAGCCACTTCATGATCGATCCATTCCCAATCCCCTTGCTCATATTTCATTAATCTTGTTTCTATAATTACAACAAGCACCAGAGAAGGGACACAGAGCTGATCATTAAATCACATCTCTTCACCAATATAGCATGGACCTCTCCTTTGCCTTACTACAAGCACACACCAGAGGTCTCATTTGTTCCACCTTCTACAGCCTCACATCAGGAAAAAAAAGGGTTGGTTCGTACACTGAGGTACATAGTAAATCATATGTATGAAATTCTGCAAGACTCTATGCTACATGGCATCCCATCCGGCTTTTCTTCCTTTTCCTTTTACCACTTTCCAGATAGAAATTTGCAAAAATGATGGTACATAAGACCCACTAAACAAATATTCTAAGGGATAAATATGCCCTCGCTATCTATATGGATAGTGTTATTATGGAATAAAATTAGCTAAAGGTATAGCAGAAATTAACATGGTAATGCCGCAACCTTTTTTAAGGTTACCATAACATAGGTTCCCTTGTTGTATGAAATGCCCTTTGTTTTTCAGCACCATGGCATACACACATCAGTTTGCTTCTCCAGTACAAATACCAGGGCATTAGAAATATCCGTTTACGTAGTGATATACAAGTAGGCCGTCAACAGAAATGTGACTAGCCCCTAGAAAAGTATCAACAAGAAGGCCATCCAAAACTAAAAGGGAAATAAACGAAAATCGATAAAATTACTAGTCAACAATGGCCTGCTTAGAATAACTTGATCAAAACTGCATTCTCAGCAGTGATCAGCACCTTGTGGCCAACTGACCATCAATGAATCCCAAATTGTTTCACACAGAAAAAGAAGCCCAAAATTTCCATCCAAAATAAAGTTTGAGACTTCATATCATCTTCATGGCCAAAATGAGAACATTCTTTCATGGAACGATAGATTGAGGATTGCATTCAAGACTGCAACAGCCATTTTAGAACATAAAGATACAGAGTGTGCAGAAATTCTGCTCATTCATACTTCAAAGCACTCGAGGGATGCTCTGATCTTACACTCTTGGTTCCAATATGTGTGTCAATATGAGGAAGGACAAGTCATAGTGGTGCGATGCTTTCTTCTCAACCGAATGACATAATGAACATACCAATTTTCATACCGGTCTTGGTTCATGCAAATATGAATCTCGCAGGCACTTCCCCTCTGCAAGCTGCTGCATAGTCTTCAGCAAGGTGTGGTGCAGCTTCCTTGTGAGGGCATATGTACTTCTTCATGAAATCGTTATTGCTCACTAAAACTGGAGAATAGTAGTCCCGGTCATGATTGAGCAATCCATTTTCCTTGAGGAACTTTACAGCGTAATACCGGGGCCTGAGCCGGCCCTTCAGGCTGTAAGTGAGCACTGCCGGCCGACGAGCAATGTATGCCGGTTCCAAGCCAACCTCGGAGATGAGGAACTCAGAGCTACGCTGCATCGACTCCTTGGACCTCGTCAGCATCAATGGAGCCTTGGAAACGGCAATGGCCACCTCAGCATCCGTCCACATGAACGTGTTCTTCAAGCAGTCCACTCTGGCTGCGATCTCCTCTTTGCTGAAACATGCAACAGCATGCAGCGCGTGGCCGAACATCCCAGAACCACAGGGCACACCCATGTTTTTGGCGCATGCCACCATGCCCCGGAAGCGCTCCGGGTTGGTGCTGAGCAGACCTGGTCGGCTGGTGCATAGCTTGGCAATATCACAAGCACCTAGCTCGCACTCCCGTAGCAACGCCAGGTTAGGCTTGACCACCCCCTCGAGGTCAGAGGTGAGAAGGTAGAAGCTCCTCTTGAGTGCCCGGAGGACGTTGTCAGAGGACCCAAAGAGAGTAAGGTAGTAGTGCATGTCAGAACTAATCTTGTTATTAATGCTTGGTTTAGATTATTTCTTGGTTTTTCTTGAGTCATGCATGTAGTCGTGTCCATATACTAGGCTGTCGGCAGTGTACTCACATAAATATGAGATCATGTGTGTGCATGCAAACTAGTAGTGGGTCAGATTAGTTAGTTGATGTAGTCACGCATGTAGTTTGTTAGCTAGCCATGTGCATGTGCATGTTGGCCGGGTCATTTGGATCATGGGTGAGTTGGTTAGTGGCCGAGTGTGCCGGCCAAGTTAGTGCGTAAGTACATGGGTTAGTGGTTAGTGTGCCCGGGTATGGCAGCTAGCTTGGCAAGTCAGCCAACCTCTCTTGTGTATATAAGTGTTGCACTCAGTTAATGAGAAAGTTTGAGGCCGTGTGGGCTGGGGTAAAACAATGTAGTGTATGTGTGTCTCGCCGGGAGTAGAAAGCAAAGCTAGTCTCTCTCCACGGTGAGGTGTGTGTGTGTGAGAGTTTATGAGTTTTTCCCACCGTGTGCGTTCGTGTGTTCTTGAGAGAAGAACAAAACAAGAGGAAGAGAGAGTTCATAGGTAGAAGAAGAAGAGGCACTGCGTGAGGAGGCGGCGCCAACAGTGCAGCCTGGAGACGATGGATCTGCACCAGAATCTGTGACGGGAAAGCGAGACGAGGCGCGCGATGTCATAAGGCGAGAGTCCGAGGCCGGTGAGCCCGGCGACGTTGGGTGCCAGGGTTTTCTCCACTTTGGCGCAGAGGAACAGCGGGTCCTTGGCGATGAGGGCGGCGACGTCGGCGCCGGAGAGGCCGAGGCCGGCGAGGAAGGCGAGGACTGCTCGGGCTTGGATGGTGATTTGAGGTGGGAGAGCTTGGCGGAGGCTTTGACGGGCTGGGGTCGGGTGAGGCCGCAGGTGGAGACGAGGTACTCCTCCACGGCGAAGCTAGTACGGATGGGGGAAACTGCGGGCGCCGCGGCGGTGAGGAGGCGACGGACAGGGGATGCGTGGGAGGTTGCTGGACATGAGAGGAGATGGTCGAGGACGCGGCTACGCACCCTGAGCACGGCGGCGCGGTGGAGCCAGCGGCGAGGGCACGACGGCGGCCCGATGCGAGAGCGAGAGGATTAGCGTGGTCTGGAGACTTGGAGATGACAAGGTGACCCCACGCGTCACTCGCTCCTCTGATAATGGGCTGGGCTGGAACCGGATCCTCTAACATTGGGAAGGAATGTCATGATGCTATAGTATTAACTTAGTGTAAAATGAAGAAGGAAAGTTAGAAACTGTTAGTAGATAGTTAATACGTTGCTTAGTGTTGGTATTTACTGTAGATATAAATAATTTAAATTTAATTTTATTTCACCATCAATTTGTTTGCATGTAATTACTATAAATGTACACGGTAGATCATCAGTTTGCAAATTAATTTAAATCATTTTAGCCATAATCATATAAATAGAAAGAAGGAAAGTTAGGGTACTATAACTTCTTTAACATTCCTTCTCAATGTTAGAGAATCCGGTTCCGGCTCGGATGGGATGGAGTCACTTGTATACACGATTTTCTTTTATCTCTGGGGCAATGTCTCAAAAAATATTATCTTTGGGCATATTGGAATGAAGGGTTTTTTCATATATTTTTCTTCCTTTTCCCGATAAAAAAATCTTCTTTTTGTTTGAGCAAAATGATCAATAAATCGATCAAAACAACTGGGTTACAGTTGTAGTACAAAATCTCTTCTAATCCTTCAGGGACGTTTGCTAGGACAAAAAAGATCTACATTTCTTGCAAGTTAAGTAAGATCATGAGCCAGGATTTTGTGGACTCTCAAATTAAGACTAACTGCAGTTCACTCTGTACATTTGAAAACTGAACCGAAAATCCGTACCGAAAATAAACCGAATCGAACCAGTTTTATGGTTTGATGGTTTATGGTTTAGATATGGTATGAACTTTTCATACCGATTTGAACTTTGGCTTTTTATGGTATATACCGAAAAACCGAACGGTTAACCAAATAAACCGAAGTGAAAAATAAAATTATATTTCTTGAGATGAACAACCATACAAGTTGTCATTTTTTTCGTACATGAGTCAAATTCACTACTAAGCACGTAAATTTCTCTTGTAACATAGTCATTTTTCTCTTTTTAAAATGCTAAGCACGTCCATAACCATCAACACATGAATCAATGTATGCATATATACTTATATATTTAGTGATATACTACTCCCTCAGTCCGAAAATACTTGTCATCAAAATGGACAAAAGGGGATGTATCTTGAACTAAAATACATCTAGATACATTCCCTTTTATTCATTTTGATGACAAGTATTTCTGGACGGAGGGAGTATTTGTGTAAAATAGTATGTGTTTTGAGTCATAAATTTGCAAATTATTATTACGTTCATTTTCATATTCGGGTCAACTTTGGATTTTATGGTATATACCGAAACCATACCGAAATAATTTGGTATATACCAAAACCAACCGTATTTACCGAAGTATTAATATCGTACAAACCAAAAACCTGTATAAATCAAACCATGTAAACCGAATAAACGGAACGCACAGGGTGAGCTGCAGTATTGGGCATCTGGTCCTTCTTGAATGCCGCCTCTGCGCCATCATCAGGGCGAGAACGCTTCCGCACACCGTTGGTTCGTTGTCATTGTCGTTGTCATTGTTGTCCTTGTCCTCCTCCTCCTCCTAGGGATACTCCAACTCCGAGTCGGTCTCCGAGGGGTCCTTCGACTCTTCCATGACCTCAATAAAGTTAGGGTCATCGGAAGTGTAGGGGCGGGAGGGCTACGTGAGTGCACCCAAACCCTCGCTTATAGCGGGACTGTGGGTGTGAACTTCGCTAGAGGAGTCGATATTTCATGGCCCTTTCCGGGACATAGACGGACAACACTAATTGGTAGTTGCAAATATCTAGTTAATTATCTAACAATTAACTAACTATATAGAACTAACATTTGCTACTAACTTACTTATTTTAACAATGTTGCTACACTCTAGCAAACACCATATCTAACTTATTTTAACAAATAAACATGCATGTATTTCATCAAAAGAAAAAAAGAAAAGAAAAAGGTGATGAAGAAGCTCACATCGCGCCCTCCTCCTTAACAATGCAGACACCGGTGCCGGTGTCTCCCTGCTTCGCCGCACCGCCACTGCCATGCCTCCTCC